TCTAGTTTACTATGGGGCAATGTTCGTTGTACGTAGAGATGATAGCTCCCTGTAATCGATCTGCTGCCAACTCTAGGTCAATGGAATCTCTGATGTCAAAATCCATGCGGTCTAAACAGGTTTCCAGGTCCACCGTATAGGCTCCCCAGTTTGTTTTCCGGGGATTTTGATATGTTAGGATCGAGGTCTGAATCCCTCCGATTTCAAAGTTTATGTGTCGATGGTCTGAACAATGGATGTGCCTTCAAGGTTTAGAACATCGCCTTCCTTGTGACCCTCATATCCGGGTACCCAAGCTAGAGTGACCCTAATTGCCGCCTGGCTGTCAGAGAAAATGGTAATGGTTTTTATTTGTGACCTTCCCCTATACAGTGTTCGATGGCCGCTACTTCTGCCTGGAACACAGTTGCGTTATGTCCGAGGCTAAGTGCGATTCTTGTCTTTGCTCTGCCTCCGTATATACCGGCTCCCACTCCTTCTTGGGTCTTTGAGCCACCTGTATACCAAGTTTCTTCCGCTTTTACCGGTGGGCCGTTTTGCCAGTCCTCTCTACTTGGTATGATGATCTTGAAATCTTTTTGAAAGTTGTTCTGCGGAACTGTGTTATCCACGGACATTCCTAGTATTGGATCTGCCTTCAGTTCATTGTACAGTTTTAGGTATTCTACACCGTGTGACTGACTGATTGGGATTTACCCCTGCATTAGCCTGTGTGTAACCAGTCGAGCTTCTCTTTGTATGTAGATGTGAAATAGGGGAAGTCCGAGTAGGACCTCAAGTGCTGCAGTTGGGGTCGTTCTCATGGCTCCCGCGACACTTAGGCACGCTAGCCTTTGTATGCCGCCTAATAGCCTAGCCGTAACCGATTGCCTTGTTCTTCTCCACCAAGTCACTACACCGTTTGTTATCATGGGACTCACTACCCTTGTATATTTCAAAAGCGTCATTTTTGGGTTCAGCCCCCAGTTTTCCCACACATTTTTCTGTGGATTTTCAGGGCCCTCCTGACCTCATGTGCTGTTTTTTGGATGTGGAGGTTCCACGTGAGCCTGTAAGTGTAAGTATCATCAGCCCTTCCCCTTCCGTGGCGACAGGGATCTCCACTTCACTGAGTATTGGTGGTTTTAGTCCTCTCATCACTCTTTTCCTTCTGAATAACGACGACAGTAGTTTTTTGGACATTCACTGAGAGGTTCTCATGCTCGCACCAGCTGCCGACGATGTTCAAGGTTCTTTGCATGTGCTCCGAGGTGACGCCTGCAAATTTCCCTTTCGTGACTATCACCAGATCGGCAGCATATCCCAGGCAATATATGCCTTCTTCAGATAGCTTTCTGAAGAGATCGTCTACAGCAGGGGTCTCCAAACTACGGCCCGCGGGCCAAATCCGGCCCGCCAGTGTCATCAATCCGGCCCGCGACAGCCAATGATTTACTGTCATCAGTCTGGCCCGCGACAGCCAATGATTACCTTATTGTTGTTACTATTGCTGTGATAAGTTGAAGAAGAAAACACAGAATGATAATTACTCGGTTTTATTTACTTGCAAGGTAAAACTTAACGATAGAAATGATGACAAATAATTGAAATGAATCACAGTAAAACAAAAACACTAATGAGATTTATGTAATTGTGAATTATTATTGGACTCAATCACAAAATACTGAAAGTTCCATTTTTCTTGGAACGTTCTGCACTCACTGTCGATTTTTCGCTTCTTTTCCATACTAACAAATCACACATAAAAACAATAAGTCAAATCAAAATACTTTTATTGACGGGTGTTAGTTTATTTCACAATAGACAGTTTCGATTCTTTCGCCTTTCTTACGCAGACTAACTCACAGTTGCGCCGCTAGCCTTTTTATATGTAATTATTACTGCCATCTCGAGGTGATCGGAATACACTAGCTAGAACCAGAACTTTTTTGAACCAACGCGGTAATTCCAAATATTTAATTAAGCCTAGCGTGTAGCTGAAAAAGATAGTACATAGTACCACTACTCGCCACTAGATTTCGTTAAGTGTCACAATACACAATAATAATTGAAATATAGTTAAGGGCAGAAATTGGCCCTTGGAACAAACTGAAAAAGTCATTATGGCCCGAAGGCTTCAAAGTTTGGAGACCCCTGGTCTACAGATGTTCTGCGGAACTGTGTTATCCACGGACATTCCTAGTATTGGATCTGCCTTCAGTTCATTGTACAGTTTTAGGTATTCTACACCGTGTGACTGATTGATTGGGATTTGCCCCTGCATTAGCCTGTGTGTCACCAGTCGAGCTTCTCTTTGTATGTAGATGTGAAATAGTGGAAGTCCGAGTAGGACCTCAAGTGCAGCAGTTGGGGTCGTTCTCATGGCTCCCGCGACACTTAGGCACGCTAGCCTTTGTATGCCGCCTAATAGCCTAGCCGGAACTGATTGCCTTGTTCTTCTCCACCAAGTCACTACACCGTTTGTTATCATGGGATTCACTACCCTTGTATATTTCAAAAGTGTCATTTTTAGGTTCAGCCCCCAGTTTTCCCACACATTTTTCTGTAGATTTTCAGGGCCATCCTGGCCTTATGTGCTGTTTTTTGGATGTGGAAGTTCCACGTGAGCCATGCTCGCACCATCTGCCGACAATGTTCAATACACTTCAATTTGGAAGTTTGAAAAATACCACTTCCTGTTAAAATTTTCGAGATAAATGAAGAAAAAAAAGGGTTTAACAAAATAAATGAAAAGTTTTTGAGAAATTCCATTCCTCAACTTGTTTTTTTAAAACTAAACATTGCCTTTCGTTTCTCGCAGCATCAAGCTTTTTGACATTATTTCTACAGATGCCGCGATAGAAAAATGGCTCCTACGGCGCCATTTTGAAAGAAAACGGTCACATGTGTTATATACTTGAAAATAGAATTTCAAATGTTGTAAAACGGGCAAAAAAATATACATGGTTCTATGCAACTCTCAATAAAGCAAGCAAAACAACCGGAATCCAGCTAGTTTCCGTGCTGTGATGAAAGAAAAAAATATGTGTAAATTTTCTTTTACCTGTTTTTTTCATTTTTATGTGCAATTTACAACGTGTATTATTAAGAACATGTTTTATGCATGGATTTAAGGAACCCTTGAAGAGTTTATATTGAAGTGTCCTATATAAAAAACATACTGTGTGTTTTTTGGTTGAAATTTATGCAAATCAATGAATATTATTATTGCTGTGTATCAAAGACGTTAAAATTTATTATTCAATTCAAGGTATATAAGTTGGATTCGGGTTACGAACCACAGATATCGTCTTATATAACTGCAAGGGTCCTCACTTTTGATGAAGAAACTAAGGCTGTCAATTTAGAAATACTTGGTGAGTATGTGTATTTTCCCAGTAGAATATTTGACTCCACAAAATTCAATAACTACCAAACAAATTATTACAATTACAATACAATTTATTGTATTGTAGAGTTTGAATATAACTATTGCTAACAGTAAATGGTGGTGTTTAAAGTTATTTATCCAATATGTTTGGATAAACTTTAAAAAAGTAGCAAGAAACTTGAAACTGGAAATATTGGTATGAATAATTATAAAAAAGTAAAACAATCATGTGGAATATTTCAAAATATGTTCGAATCGCTGGCCGTTCACTTCCAAGCACTTTAAAATGCGGGTGTTGACTGCTTTCGTGGTGGCAGATCTGATTTCATTGGGATCCAAATCTTCAAATGTTTGGGCAATCCTTTCTAACAATTCATCTCTCGAACGCACGGGTATTTTGTAAACTTTTTCTTTAAACATTTCCCACAAATAAAAATCTAATGTATTAAGATCGGGTGATCTCG